GGTAAAATTGAAGCGACGACTTAATGCCGCACTTCTTGAAGGTACTTTTGTATAAGGTCACGAGAGAGATGATTTTTATGTCTTATTTCGGTCCTGGCTTATCTATTCGGTCAATCGTGCATTGATTTACGATATATACTTCACGTTTGCGCCGATTTTTGATTTGACCATAAGTTGATTAAAGAAAAAGTGTTTTTTTCGCGAAGCTGATATTAAAAATATTCTATTTCCTACCCCGAACCCCTGTCTATTTTGGTTTCAATATTCTCCCGGTAAAAACACATTTTAAGGTGTCCCAATTTTACTGCCTCTCTTGACATCTTGTCGTGTTACGCAATGCGCATAGCATTTGACATGTTTTTGGCATCAAATAACATTTTCTTTAATTAAGACTTGACACATATTTGCTATTTGCTTTAGCTGCTGCTCAATGCTTCTTTCAATTCAGTAGTGTAAAAAAATCCTTGCGTCCGACGTCAACTCAAGTTGTAGACACTTAACCCTTCCTAGACATACTTGATCGTCGTCATTTCCCGGTATTACAATGGAAAAAGCCCCAGCATTCGCGCGAATTCACAACACTTCGTACGCCAACATGACTGTGAATCTTTCTTCGGGAGTTGATCCAGTGCCAGAGTCTGGTTGTTTCCACGGCGATGCATCTGCGATCAAATTTGCTCGTATTCTTCCATATATCCTCATAATTGCAATCTCCTTGATTGGAAACTCGATGGTGGTTGCCGTTGTTTTCAAAAATCAGCGCATGTGGACAACGGTGAATTTTTACATTGTCAACATGGCCGTTGCAGATCTTATAATTACACTTTATATGCCCAGAATGTTCACGATGGTTTTTGAGGGATTCGAATGGGTCGTTGGTGGAATAACCGGTGAGATCTTTTGTAAAATGTCCATCCTTCTCAATCAGGTTCCGATGATAGTTTCCATCTTCACTGTGGTTGCCATAAGCTTCGATCGTTTCAATGCTGTGGTCTTCCCGTTAAAACCTTTAGTTTCCACGCGAATCTGTAAAGTGATCATCCTTTGCACATGGCTGGTCGCAGTAGCGTTTCGTATTCCAACCATATACGCAGTGGAAATCATCACAAGCGAATCAGACGGCAAACCCTATTGTAACCTTAAACTAGACGAGAAATTCGGTAAAGGGGTTAAGAGAATCTACTATCACTTTAACATGATAGCCATATTTTCTGTTCCTCTTTTAATGATCGTTATCTTCTACACCACAATTATTGTGACACTAAAGCGAAGAAAAACACCTGGGCTCACTCCAGAAAATTCGTCCAACAGCGGTGAAGGATTCCGACGCAGAGAAGTTGTTAAAAAAAAGGTTCTTCGCTTGGTTTCCATCGTGGTTACCGCTTTTGTACTCTGCTGGTTTCTTTACTATGTCAGACTTTCTATGTATGCTTATGGTCGTGACCTCTCATGTGATTGGTTGTACGTCCGTCTTCTTTTAGCTCACATGAACAGCGCGCTAAATCCATGTTTGTACGCAATTTTTAGTGAAAACTACCGCAGAGGGTTTAAAAAGATCCTAGCTAAAGCTAACTTCTGTAAAAGACGTTCGCAAAGAGACGATTCGCTAAGATCCGTTAGGTGGCACGGAGCTTGGGACAGTAACGGAAGTATCAGCATACGAATTGAGCAGGAAATTCAAAAATTATCCTCTCTGTAATCGTAAATTCGAGCGATAAACATGTTTTCCCTTCCTAAGAGTAAAATCGGAACGCTTACGGGAAACATTTCTGGTAAGCAAACCTTTTTAATTAATACAGGTGGCTTTCAATAGTGTTGGTGGTCATGCTCTTGATAGTTTTCCTTCACTTTATTACCTGTCGAAATAGAGGGCGTAATCGATTTGAGCTATTACCTCACATTACCCAATTTTTCACAACGGCGAAAGGCGACCAGAGAAGTTTTACAGGGAAAAATATATTTCTGTGAATGTGTAAATAAACCGTGTAATAACTTAAAGGTCTGGGTTTAAAAATAAT